CAACCAATGAACATGATATATTACATGAGAAAATAAAAATATATTGCATTTATTAAATGTAACCTTACATTTTATTATATTTCGACTACAATAATAATCTGTATTGTTGAATAAAATTAATTCTTATATTATCTGCATTATGCTAGTGATCTGAAAATGAAAGCTGTGTCACCACTGTATACTGAATAGAGTGCCCATATTATAACACCACAGTAATCACTTCAGTACTAATTCTTTGAAAAATTATATTGACTTTAATGTACAGTTTGAATGTATTACACAGAAAACATTGTGTGCTATGTTTGTAGAATGCACAGATAAAGAGAAATAGGTTTGTAAAAATGTCCACAACCAAATAATGATATCTTCATGCAGTACCATATACAAATTATTTGTTTTTTTTTACTGAAATAGCTAATTTACATTCTCACTATAATAATTGTCACATTTTAAGCAGCTTGTCCAGCAGTATGTGGTATCCATTTTCTCAACAGAATTATTCAATTAATTTATTGACATAATTATATTTTACATTATATGTGTTCAGTTAACTGATTCCCTTTTATAAGCATCAAAACCATTATATCTTCATGCTATTGTTTTGGCGCATAAATATTGTGCCTTTTATCTGACAAATGTATATATGGCTGATTTTGAGAAATAGTAATGTTTACATGCTGACTGCCACTAGAGGCAATTTCTTCTTAAAGGGACACCTATGCCTGAACCAGAATAGTGTTTTATGGCTTTTCTGTTATTATTTTGAATTATAAAAGGAGGGTGGATGGATGTAAAATTATAAAGAAACACACTAAAGTCAAGGTACTATGCTAATTTAAAAACCACATGCATTACAGGCACATGCAGTAAGCAATTATAAATATTGGTATTGGCCTGTTTACATGCTGGCTTGATAAATTATTTATGGCTGGAATGCACAGATTTTGGAGTGAAGGGAGGGGCAAAAATCCTAAAAAGATCACTCCAGGCACCATAACAACTTCATCTTTATTTATCTTTTATTTATTTCACCAATCTTTCATCAACCCATCAAAAATCCTTTCTTATTTTGATGTCTAGCAGTGCTTGAGGACTGGGTAGGGAGGGAGGATGGAAGGAAGAATGGGAGGTTGGGAGGATGGGAGAAAAGGAGGAAGGAAGGAAGTTCACTCTAATCCGAATGGCTCCGTAACTCACTGGCCAGCCACCACATAATTGACCCTTGCACTGTCGAGGGTTTTCAACTATTTGCCCACTATCACCTAGTGCTACCAGAAAGAAAATAGAACTTAAAATTCTGATTTACATCCATGAAAGCAAGTGAATGATAATTTGCGAACATGCATACTGATTACTTCAGTCCTAAATTTTATTTAAATCAGTGCTTTGTGATACTCCAAATCCAGATGCAAAATCGCTGATCTACAGATTCCCTCTGGCTGACAGAATTCCAACTGGAATTTGGTTATTTTCACTGGAATATTTTTTTGTTTAGTAAGCTGCCCATATCTTGTTTATCCCTTTGGGTGAGCAAGAGGTATTTTCATAGTTTCCTCCTAAAATGGGGATAAATTCCAATCCCATCAATCTAACTGTTACACATCTCATTAAAAGGAAACTGCTGGATAAAAATGACTGCCTATGTTGTAATGCATTAGAAAGCTAATGCATTTAAATATAATGCAAAATATAAGGCAAAAAAATGCAAAATAATCTCAATGTCAAATGTTTAATGGATGATTTCTCAAAAATCTGAGACTATAAACTTAACAGCACTAAATGTGAACCCCTTACTATTTCACTTTTGCCAACAGTCATGGAAGACTGACAAGGAGTTTTCACTTGAAAGTGAAGCCCTCCCACATTATATGAACTCTATAGTCACCAAAATAACTTTAGCTTATTGGAGCAGTTTTTTTTGTATAGATCATACCCATGTATTCTATTCTTACTGCTCAATTTTGTGCCATTTATGAGAATCCTTTTTTTCGGCCCTAGCTACACTTCCCCATGGGTGTGACTGACACAGCCTGCATGAAAACAAAATGCTTTCACTTGATATCAGATAGTAAATGATTCTAAAAGTTTTATCTCCTGCTCTGCACATTTAACTTTAATCACATACAGGAGGCTCCTGCTGGGTCTAGAAAGCTACTAACAGTGCAGGAGATATTAATTTCTAAATTAAACAAAATTTCCAATAAAGGAAGTGTAAACATTAGATGACTCTTTAGAGGAAAGACGTGTTTTTTTGTAAGTAACATACAGGGAGGTGTGACTAGGACTGCATAAACAAAGTGATTTAACTCCTAAATGGCAGAGAATTGAGCAGTGAGACTGCAGGGGCATGATGTATACACCCAAACTGCTTAATTAAGCAAAAGTTATTCTGGTGACTATAGTGTACATTTAAATATGAAGAAATCACATTACCTAATAGCAGGAAGGTATTACATAAATCTAATTATTAAGTGACAAATTCAACTTGGCTGCCCCTTCATATTTTACTGAAGGTTAGAGAGGATGTGGTCAAAATGGCAAATAAACCATTTACTTGTTTAGAATGAACAAGTAGCTGTAGCTATAAGCAATAAATATATAGTACAGCTCATTTCAAACGGGGCAAGGCAGGCGTGCACGTACTCAATGTGCTTGCCTCTTACGTTAAATCTGTGATGCTAAGACATGCAAGAAATCCTCCTTGGTTGCCTGACTGACAGCCAGGGAGCTGTTTCTACCCCCAATTATAAAAGTGGCACTTTCTAAATAAAATCGAAACTTTTACAAACTGTGGCAGATAAGACAGACTCCAGACATATAAAGAATGTGTGTGGAGTGATCCTTTAAACAAAGAGGACTGCTTTTAAACATTAAGTTATCAGTACCTGATGTAGTCAGACTCAGCTAAATATAATGGGTTGTTAACCTTCAAATACGTTTGTTACATCTTTTGTGCTTAAACAGTCATTTTTGAATTTCATATAAATTTTTCAGTGATGCAACAGATTTCTAAATCTTTCCATCTTTTCTTCCTCCACAAAAGTGTCCTGTTTCACTCCTCTTTTTTTCTGCGACTCTAGAAATTCGTAGAAATTAGGCAGAGAAAACGGCTTACAGAAAGCTATCGCAATGCAATGTTGAACTTTAACAGTGCTTCAGACCATGAGAAATATAGTAATTATGCATACTTTTTTTTTCTAGCATGACATATTTGCCAGAAAATCACAATTCACATTTGAAGATGTATTACTTGTTATTTGAAAACTAGAGCACATCACAATGAGTGCAAGTCAGGATACTAAGATAAATTCTAACTTAGAGGCTAATTTAAATATAATACTTTCTGCTCATAATAATGAAAAAAAAAAACTTTAAACATTTCCACAATCAGCCAGCTAATTGATGCTCCATACTCACATTGAGTAAAAAAAAAGCTTTCAAAGACTAAACCTTGAGTAATCTTTTGGTAAAGGATTTGTAAAATAAATACAGATATTATTTACTTTAGTTGGATTGTGTTTCTTTATATGCTGTGGAAATCATTTTCAAGACTAGCTGACATCATTTTTGGCAAGTCTTCCCTATTACTGACTTTCTTCCCTTTGAATACTCTACTAAATGTTTTTCACATTACTTGAATAGTCAAAAAAAAAAAAACTCGGAACACAGTGAACACACGCTGCGTACTTGAATCTGGTCATTTTACCTCAATGCTTGATCTTTTAACTTAATAGGTTGAATGTCTCATTTTAGAGGAAGGCTAAGTCTACTTGATCATGGTTTTGAAAGAAAAAAAAATGGTTTGCTGATAGTCTATGCTTAGAAAGGAATGGGATCTATTCACTAAACAGTGAGTTTAGTTTGACAACCAAGTTGGAAATTAAGACTAGAAAAATAGCAGGCCTGAATGAAAAGAAAATTGAAAAATCTGGGAGGGTCTACTAAGGAAGTGATTGCAGCAGCAAATCCAGCTAGAGTCATTCAGAGAAACTGAGGTAAATTTAGTTGCTCTTTTACATATAATATGAATTAAATTGCTGCCATCTAACCGGATCAAACCACAAAATTAGGATCATAATTATCCCTTAATTTAAGCTTCTCTTCAACTAGAATTGTGTTTAAGTAGCATGATTAGCCAAGAGCTGTTTTTGTCCAAAAGCCCCTTGTTGCCCAATGTGGTTCGGTATGAGCTGAATATATTTGGGTATTAAATGTTTGCAAATTATTATGCACCATTGAAGGATTTGCTATATTTCTGTAACCTTGTAACTTGGGTGCAGGGCCGTCTTTAATAATAAATGGACCCTGGGCAAGCATTAGCTTGCCCTCCCTGGACCCTGTCCCCCATCTCCCACTCACTGGCATGCAATCACACCATACACGCCATCGCACTAAAGTAGAGAGATTCCTGGTGCAAGAATTTTGTGCCTCCAAAGACCTTTTGATTAAAGATAGGGTGGATTTCACAGTCTCTGCATGCCTCTTCCAAAACCATTCAATGGTATATAATGCATGAGATAAAAAGAAATATATATATATATATATATATATATATATATATATATATATTTGTGTTAGGTGCTTAAGATAGTACAGTGTGAAATACCATGAATAAGCGTAGGATAATAAAAAGGAGCAAGTCGGTTGGGGTGTGCCGAAACCGACGATGAGGTAGGCCTGAGAAAGAAGAGGGCCTACCCAGGAAAAGAAATAGAAAGGAAATAAATGTTAAAGTGGTGTGGTGGGAGGGTCATTCAACGCTGACCTCGAACGGTAAGGAGCAAGGTAAGGGGAGTGCCTTAAGTAGGCTAGGGGTAGCAAACCAGCACCTCCCACAAATCCACGCAAATTGCCTTAATACATATATATATATATATATATATATATATATAGCGTGATACAGTATAAAAATATAAATATACATCGAAATCGTACTCACAAGCAGAGAGCAGAAGAGCCTGCTCCAACTGTCAGCGCTCTCAGTATGATCAACCCAATGGGATAAAAGACAGATGGCTCCAGCAGGTAAAGATATACACTTTATTTCCAGATCTGGAAATAAAGTGTATATCTTTACCAGCTGGAGCTATCCAGATCTGGAAATAAAGTGTATATCTTTACCTGCTCGAGCCATCCGTCTTTTATTGGCTTCTCCACCGGACCACCAGGGATTAGAACTGTCCCCCCTCCCAGGCAAAGGTAAGCAGGGAGAGGGGTGTGAAAATAATAATTTTAATTATTTTTTTTCAAATATATTTATTAATTTGCCATCCTACCCCCACAGAGGCACACTAACTCCCCCCATACACACAACCTGCCCCCTCCATACACACACTGTACCCCTTACACACACTGTACCCCTCACACACACTGTGCTCCCCACACACAAACTGATCCCCACACACACACTGCCTCCCCACACACACTGCTCCCCCCACACACACTGCACCCCCCACACACACACACTGCCCCACAGACACACACTGTGCACTGCACTTCCAAATACACACTGTACCCTCCACACACACGCTGTGCCCCTCATGCACAAACTGCCCCACACACACACTGCACCCCTCACACACACACTACATCCTTCACAAACACAATGTATACCCGTATACTCACTGCATCCCTCACATGCACACATTGCAACCCTCTCACACACGCACACTCACACTGTACCCATCACACACACACTACATCCTTCACAAACACAATGTATGCCCGTACACTCACTGCATCCCTCACATGCACACATTGCAACCCTCTCACACACGCACACTCACACTGCACCCATCACACACACACACAAATGCACCCCTAACACAAACAATCACTCACCCCTAACACAAATACTCAATCACTCACTCACACACACTACTGCCCTTATCCCTTAACACAGCCCCTATCCTGGCAGATCCCAAGTAAATTGTCAAACTGCTCCTAAACATTTTGACTATTTACTCTGGGAGGGCCCAACAGCACTACTGGCACCATTACCACTACAAAGTGCTGTAGTAGTTATTGTGCCTGGATTGTTTCTTTAAATAATCTACCAGGGCCCCTCCCAAGATTAGGTTTTGGATCTGCGCTTGAACAGCAAGCATTTCTGCCGAACAGGGGCCCAGTATATGCTCCTGCGCTGTACATATATACAGCCTAGAAATTTTTTTGACTTTGGGCACCTTGGAAAAATATTGAAATATTAAGGGTGCCTTGAACCTAAAAAGTTTGGTAACCACTGCAATACATCATAATATCACAAACTGCTGTTTGTTTAACAATACAGTAATGCCTTTGTGTTCCTGTATAAGAACCTGTAATGCGAGAGCTTTATAAAGGAATTATGGTAGCTCACACACTATCTCTGTTGCTCAGCAAAATGATAACATGGGTGATGCTACATTACTGTTTCCAACTGTGGCAAGTCATTTAATATGTGTGAAATCATCATTTAAATAACAGTTGTCTGCTTAGGAAGTACAGCCAAGTAAATGGCATCAAGCAAGTAAGCATTTTGGAAATCAAAATGATCAGGCATGTCATCTTGTAACCTCAGTAAATTAAAGTT